TGTATATTCACCATCAGTAAACTGAGCCATTTCTCCTTGCTGCCGGGAACCAGATGCTCAAACACAAACGTTTTGCCCTTCACAACTGCCGACCAAGCGCCCGTAGGGCTTGTCAGATTTCTGATTTTCATCTGGTTAAACAGCATGTGACTCCTATGGAGATGAAAGGAAAAGTTTAGCCAAGGCACAGATGTTATTGTACTTACGAGACACTACATATACAGGAACACACTCACACGCTCACTGTCGCACACAAACACTAACACACATAAATAGGTATCAATATAAGTGTACCCAAAAGCATCCGCATGCGGGAGTTATAGAAAAATACGTATTTGTGAGTTAAAATGTATTAAATAGCTTTTATATTAACACTAGCTCATAAATGTACCCGAAGGCATCTGTATGCGAGTTACAAAAAACAACAACCCATATTTGTAAAGTAAAAGTATGCATACTAAAATTAGTTACGCCGTACGAAGCGCGCAATACCAGAATAGCAGCGTGAACAAACAGATGGTAGCAGGAAATATACACAATATCCCGTCAAACTCTCAAAAATTCTCAAATACACACACACACACACACACACACACACATATATATATATACATATATCAGTTTAGGGGTTTTAGGGTTTTAGGGTTAGGGTTTAGGGTTAGCGACATACTTGTATAGTAATCGTTTACGTCGGATGGAGTGCGTGAATCCGGTTTGGTCCTTGCACACGAGGAGCATGCGCTCGAACAAAAACACATGGCGTGTCTTCTTACGTCCACCCTCGTGTTGTATGACAATCTCGTCACGCAGTTGCTCACCGGCATCAACCTCCAGTGTTCGTAATCTCTGTGATGCATTATTTTATAGTGTAATGTATTGTAACATATTAGATCGTATTGTATTATATTACAGTATGTTAGATCATAGTAAATTGTGCATATTATGATATATTATTTTGCGTCTGTATTTTAGTATATTATTAAATTTTATATCGTATTATATTATATCATACTATATCTTGTCATATTATGTTATATTACACTATACTATACTATTTTATCCTGTTATTTACTAATGTATCGTATTATAATATATTGCAATACATTGTGCTATATCAACGTATTCTATTGAGTCGGTATGTAACTAGTGCTGTATAATGATTTCATCTCAGAGTTGCTCACCTGTATTGATCTCAACAATCCGTAGTAAAATCCCTAAAACCCTAATAGTATAGGTATTGGTGTACTTTGGACTGTATTTCATTACAATACATTTCTCTTACGTTTCATTGCGTGCCTATGTATTTAGTAATGTATGACAATCTCGGTTCTGTTGAACCTTTATATCTCAGTCTTAAATGTCCGATCTTTGTGTTTTGCATTACTTTTTCTTTCAATTCGAATCGGACTGAGGGGCAGATAAGATGTATCTTGTAAGTACGTTAAAGAGCAATAATGCTACAGATTGATCACGTCCCTATACATCTCCAATACAATGTTATTTTGACTACATAACGCTGTGTCCACTAATCTACACTATGGTATATTGTGCTATCTTCACTATAACATACATTTTGATACTATATTCTCATTACTTTGGCTATACCATGTCCTTGACTATAACATACATTTGTTACTACATTTATATCCTATTATTTTACTTTGACTACATGTCACAGTATCTACTATTCTACACTATGGTATATTGTATTACTTTGACTATAACATACATTTGTCACTATATTCCCAGTACTTTGGCTATACCAGGTTATGACATTTATATATATATTATTATTTCAGTTTGACTACTTGGCATAGTTTCTACTATACTACCCTATGGCATACTATACAATTTTGACCATAACATCCCGTTCTAACTAGATTTAAATTACTTTGACCAAGGCCCCTGTTACTCACGCACGAACACACGCGCACAACCAACGAGTATCGGCCATGTGACTATAAAATGTTCCACATATCCAAATAATATTTTAAATAGTTCGTGGTGTTGGTATAGCTTACGACTTTATTGGCGTTGCCTATAAGATATAATGTCGTCCACACAAACTGAAACGCTAATTCGTGACGTTGACAAACACTACAGTAGGACCACACTACTTTTAACTTCACATACGCGCTATTTTTTTTCCACAGATTCGAACACTGACAAACGAGCATACGCCAAACGCATATATACAACACACTTCCAAGTAATTGTAATATATTATCATAAACTCATGTGTACACGTTTATATATATATATATATATATGGTATATCCAAGGCGCATATGTACCAACACACTTCCAAGGTAATTGTAATATATTTTCCATAAACTC